CCACCTGCTTTGGGGATATGCACTGTCCTCCTGAGTTGTGTTTATGTTCCTTCTGTATCTCTCAAACTCTCTATTGTTTTATTCCTTTTATTGCTTTTGTTTCTTCATATGGAAACCTGGCTGCTTCCTTGGTAATCTTATTAAGATACTATATGTCACAAAGTCCTAGGTCTGAAATATGCTTTTAGAGAGTTGGGCTGGCCAATTTGGTAGCCACTAGCCACATGGGACCATTGAACACATGAAATGTGACTGGTCTGAAATGCGAGATGCTATATCAAATGTACCAGATTTGGAAGAGTTATTCTAAAATGAGAATGGAAAATGTCTCATTGATACCTTTTTTTTTTAAATACTGATCACATGTTGAAATGATTATATTTCTGTTATATTGGGTTAAGCAATATATTGTTAAATTATTTTCTTCCATTTCTTTTTACTTTTTAAAATGTGGCTACCAGAAAATTATGAAGTGCATATTTGGCTGGCAATAATTTACTGGTCACTGCTACTTGAGACTCCCAATGCCTACGTTCTTTCACCTGTACAAGCATGAAGATGCTATTAAAAACTCAATTTGGATGAAATATTCCACAATTAATACCCACCTTCCAAGTCATTTTCATTTTTCCTTTTCTTTAAGAGGCTAAAATAGAGATTTTCTTCTTTGATTCAGAAGTAGGCATAACACAAATACATTTAAATGTAATAGGGATATAAGAAAAACTGAAATTAAGCAAGACTGCCTGCAGACAATCTGTTAGCAAAACAGTAATATATACACCTGGACAAGCATCCATCCCGTGAGAAAACCCGGCAACTTTAATTACTTCACCTACAAGTAATACACTGAGAATTGTTTCTTTCCACTTGAGTGGAAGCACACAGCTCTGCAGAGTGAGCTGTCAGGAATTCTACTTCTCTTACACCAGAACTGTCTTCTGAGGCTCACCTTTGTATGTGTTGTGTAAATGATAATTAATACATGTAGCACATTGACCATAATCAGCATGGGTTGGGGAGCTGAGTGAGCTAGGTTTGACCTGGCTTTGTTGCTTGCTGACTCAATGGCCTTGGGTCAGCAGCTTCACCTCTGGTGGTCCACCTGCTAATCTGTAAAATGGGAATAATAGGATGACAGATCCTGATGGCTTACAGTCTGCCTCCGTTCTTGGCATTTTTCCATTCTCATATTTGAAATCTCCTCCGCAAATATGATTTTGTTTGTGCCTTTTGCCAAAGAAATGCTCTTCTTCACCTCAGGCTTCACAAAAAGAACTTTCAGGGGACCACTAAGCTAGGCATTCGACCTTTGTCCTCTGCAATATGTGTACCTGAGCTACAAATGTCTGACCCAGATTGGAGGACTTCCAGGGTAAGCTGTGGCTTGCAGAACATGGCCACAGTTGGCAAGGAGAGAAGGCTTGTTGAGAGATGTCTGCTGGATGTGTGCAGATTAATGAGCTAACTGAAGGGGACTTTACTGGAGAATACAAGACTGATCCCAACTGTGGGACACTCCTTGCAGAATGCTGGAAACCAAGGCTTGTGGAGGAAACAGAAACAGTTGGGGGGTTTTCAGGTGCTGAGGGATCTTTGAGGAGCCCATGGAATGACCCAGGAAAGAGGTCAGCTTTTAAAACCTGTCAACCTCCAAGAGCTACCCTGGAGAGCTATCATGAAACCTGGAGATAGAGCCCCATGTGCTTACAATGGTTTATAATTCATCTTTCTCCAACCACATTTCATCCTCACAATTCAATGTCCCAGAATTCATATTTTTTGCCAGACTGAGGGTTAGGCTTTACCAAACGGGACCCACATTATTCAAGGACAGTTTTTGCCTATCTGCTGCATTAGCTAGCGCCATGTGGGAAAATCAAGCACAGCCCAACACAGTGACTTCTAGGTTAAGTCCACCATGCTAAGTTGGCCTGTGTTAGCTTGCAGACTAATTTTGGAGTGTATGACAGTAAAGTAGGCATGGAGGAACAAGACCATCCTGTGTGATGTATTTGAATGCATGCCAATAAATGATGAGGTAATCAAAGAAGAGAAGAATTAAGTGCTATGGGCATTCTGAAAGAGCCAAAGGATCACGTTGAACCTGAGCAGTTGAGAGCCAGCTTCTTATAAGAATCCAGACTCTAAGGGCTATCAACAGGGGGATCCTGAAGGGAAGGCCTGGGAATTCCACACTTGGAAAGGAGTGGGCTAACAAGGATTGGGAGTGAGGGGAAGAGTCGGGCTGGTAGTGGGGTGAATTGGATCTCAAGTGCCAGGTCAGGGACTCCAATGCTCATGGGTGGTTCACATAGTCAAAGAATGACTTGGGGGGAAGTTTCTCAGCATATTAATCACTGTTTTGTTTTATTTATTTTTGTGTTGAAAGAGCCAAAGAATTCATGTCAGACTGTTTTAAATGGGGTGAGGGAGTTTAAAATGTAGAAGGGTGAAGACAATTCCTTACCCTTCTTTCCAACACCAGGGCATACTACTGACACATTTTGATGTTAAGAGAAAAATCCCTATGGGTAGAAGCTGGGCAAGGTGGTACACACTTGTACCAGGTGTTGGGAGCCGCTCTGAAATACATGCTCTTAAGTCCTGAGCAAGAGATACTGAACAATTACTGCGCCCTGCAATAACCTGGGCTTTACCTCCGCTATGATAATGAGGCGTGGCTCCAGGAGTAGGTGTTACCTGGTGGGGTTGAGTTACACTCACCTGTTCTTTTGTAATCCTACCCCTTGCCCCTTTTTTGGGTACACTGTTCTAAGAAACAGAGTCCCCCAATAAAAGCAAACTCCAGAACTCATGCTCCCTCTCTCATTATCTCTCATGACTTTCTCTGGCCCCCCCTTGTGGGAGCTGAGGCTGGGAACCAGGGAAGATGTCCTGAAGCTTATAATAAGATATTCCATGTCTGTGTGCGTGATATTTTGTGTCACCCCAAATTCACACGAGTAACTTTGGTTCAGTTGCCCGTGCTGGGTGTGGGCAGCATCCAGGAACTCCTGAAGCTGAGGAAGGAGAATCCAAGACCAGTCTTGGCAATTTATGGAGATCCTGTCTCAAAAAGTGAAAACAAGGTTGGGAATGTAGCTCAGAGGTAGAGCACTCTTGGGTTCAACCACTAGCATGCAAAAAAAAAAAAAATCCTATGGGTAGGTATGATTTTAAGTGCTTCAAAGTGCTGCAGTGAAGACACTTGCCTCTCTATGTCATAAAGGGAGAATTCAGGGTTCATTTCCCACAACTGGAGGGTTTTGATTGAGTAGCACCACATGGTATCCCTGGAGTACCACTAATGTTGAGATCATAAATGCACTCCCCTTCTTACCAAGGTTTTTTGGAATGCCCAGCATGTGCCAGGTCCCATGTTGTGAATCTGCATTGCAATGATGAATTCAAACTGTCCCAATAGGAGTATCTATCAGGTATTGGGGGCGGGGAAATAGGTGGAATAAAAATGGTAGAGAATTGTAGGTGGAAGATGAGGACCTGAGGGTTGATTATGTAACAGGGCTTCACTTGATGGTTTGACTATATCCCTTGTAGTTTTGAAACTTATGTTTTTTTTTTTTTTCCCAATCTTCTTTTTCCTAAACTTCTGCCTGACCTCTACCTAATCTCATTTTCTCTGAATCACCTCTATAAAAGCCCCCTGTTTGAGCAGATGGGCAGAATCACAGCCTTTGGGACAGGAGTCCCCTGTGTTTCTCCTTTGCTAGCAAAACAATAAACCATCTTCTTCCTTTTTTCTCAAATCCATGTTCTCATTATTGGATTGGCATCAGGGACAAGGACCAAGGTTTTGGCAACAATTACATAATTTCCTTACCCTTTGGTATGCTTGATAATTTTCCTAACAAAGTCAGATACTAATAAGACTGACTGTCCTATCTCTTAAACAAGAGAGCTAGATTAGATGCCTGTATTACAACAGCTGGTATCATCAAGTTACTCCTCTAGTATTAAAGTCCCCGAGACAGGGTGGGAAAGTCCAATGGGAAGTGCCTGCAGGCGGTGGGTCGGTAACTGTTTTCTAGAAGTTAGGGTTAGGAAGCCCCAAACTACCGCCCTGCCTCCCCTCATACCCCGTTTGCAGGTATCCCCTTATCTACCTCCTCCTTCCCTCCTCTGAACTTAGTCAGCAGATGCAACCACGGTCTCCTGAGCACCTGTGTACCAGGCTTCAGGTTAGATTCTGCATGCATCTTCTGAAAAACTGGGAAACAGGAGTCCAGGAAATACCTAAAGCTGTGGGGACCTTGACACCATTAGGCCCGGGCAGGTCGGACAGCCAGTGCTTCCAACTCCAAGTAGAGGTGGATAGGTCAGAAACTTGAGATCAGGCTAGCTTTGGGGCTCTGGACTAGTCACTGAACCTCCCGAGTTGACTCGATTTCTCCCTGCATTAAGAGGGTCCTGTAAAGCCTACGTAAGAAGCAGATTCCAACTGTCAAGATCCTGACACCAGGCGAAGGCCCCATAAATGGCAGCCATCATTCCTGGCCGAGTGCGGGCGCATCCTCCCGGGGGGTCCCTGAGGACAGGCCCGGCCCGCCTCGGAGGCTCTGGTCTCGCAGTGCTTGCGGCAGGTGGCCCAGCATCTCGGTGCCCACGCCCCGAAGCAAGCGAGGAGCGCGGGCGGGCTGGATGACCATCTCCCCTAGAGGATCGCCGCCTCCCACTCCATCAGCGCGCTCGGCGCAGGTGAGGTTTCCGGTCCAGGCCACGGTGACAGCGACCTCAAGAGAGGTCGGAGCGGAGGGCGCAGCCTGAGGCCTGGAGGGGGTCCCCATGGCGCCTTCTCCCTCACCCAGGTTCACACCACGGCCAGCTCGGGCGCCAGGGCCCGCGGGCTGCGCGCTCTGCGGCTGCGAAAACCCGGAGAGGCGGATCGGAGCGCCCGCCGCGCTCGCAGCCAACTCCTCCGCGGTCCGGCCGCCGAGCTGGGCATGCTCAGTGCGGCCGCCGCGCCGCCGTCCGCCAACTCGGAAGCTCGCGCTCCCGGGCCGTGGGGGCGAGAACGCCGGCGGCGAGCCGGCGTCGCTCGCCGCCCCCATCGGTGGCAAACTTCTCGGCGTCCCCGGAGCTGGTCCGAGCGAGACAGAGATCTCACCAATAAAAAAAAATCCAATTTCCCCTTCCCACCCCGAACCATGGAGGCTGCGGCCGCTGGAGTGCCCCCGCCGGTGGCGGCCCCTGCCCGCTAGCTGGGGACCAACAGGTAAACTGTTGGGGGTGGGGGCGGGGAGGCGCAGCGGCCGGGGAGGGCGCGGGCTGGATCAGCCCGGTCCAACCCGCGACGCCTGAGGGCTGGCTGTCCCCGTCGGCGCTCCCAGCCATCCCCCTCGGCCCGCTTCCCCAGCCACTGGAGGGGCAGCAAAGGGTTAAGTCGGCCCCGCGCCACCGTGAGCACGGCCCCCTCCAGCCGCCGCGGCAGCCGCGACCGCCGGCTGTGCTCCTTGGCGCCTGCCGGGAGTCGCCGAGGGGACCCAAACCGCGGATGCGCCACCGGAGCCTGGCGGGCGTCTAGGAGGCACTGGCCGCTTCCTCTCACCCGCATCTCTGCCTCCCCCACCCCCAGCCGCCCTCCCTTCCGTGCCGCGGGGTCTGCGCCCAGGTGGCGGGGTCTGCGGGGCTCGTGGCGGCAGGGAAGGGTCCCTGACGAGGAGGAGGAGGGGCGGGGGCGAGCCGATTGGCAGCCTCTCCCGGGGGAGGAGGGCCACCCTCGCCCTGGGCAAGCACTTGAGCCACCCGCCTAGGCGCCAAGAAAAGTTTTTTTTCCCCCCTCCCGTGCCCCTCCCCCACCTCCATCCTGCGCTCTGATGGGGTGGGTTTGGGTCCATTGGTGAAAAAAGTCACACGTTCTCATCAGCTGCTCCTCCCCCTGGGGACAGGGTGGGGGGTGACGGGAGGCAGACGCCGCGGAGGACCCTGGCCGACCTCCAGCCCCGCCGCCGCCCGAGCGGTGCGTCCCGTGGCTCGAGCGCAGCCGGGTGCCGGCCGAAGGCTGCCCCCATCAGTGCGTGTCTGCGTGCCGGGCAGCGGCAGCATCCAACCTGCTTTATTCCTGCCTGCAGCGCCACGGCGAGCGAGCGGGCGAGCGAGGAGGGGAGAGGGAGTCTGTCTGCAAAGTGCTGCTCCCTGGTGCTCAGAGGCGGCTGCTCCAGCTCCAACTCTCATTCATTTCGCCGGTTAACATGAGAGATCATGGCCGCCTTCGGGCTTCTCAGCTATGAGCAGAGACCGCTGAAGCGCCCCCGGCTCGGGCCGCCCGATGTCTACCCGCAGGACCCCAAGCAGAAGGAGGTAAGGGCGCCGGCGGCCTCCGCAGCTGCTGGGGCCGCGCTCTGCAGCGCTGACCCGGGGCCAAGTTGGCCCAGCGGGCATCGCCGGCGCTGCGGGGGAAGGGTCGGAGAGGGGGATTGGAGGCGGGGGCCGGGCTGGTGGGCTTGGGGACCCCAGGCGACCAAGACCGGGCGGCTGTCATTCCCCGCGCTCCACTGGGGCGCTCGCTCTCCGGGTACCGGGTCGCCTCCCGGTTATCGGGCCTGGCACTGCGCTGCCAGGCGCTTCACCGGCTTCTTTCCTGTCGAAACCTTCCTGCTCTCTTTCCTCCGCTTCTGCCTGGTTTATTTTTCTCTCCGCCGCTTTGGTAAATCCTGGTAAACTTTTTGAAAAATGTTGGAATGCAGTGCATCCGACACTAAGGTCTTGCGTTTTGCGCCAGCGGAGCAGGGACGGATGGGGGAGGGACCCTTTTCAAATTTTCCAGTTTAGAAAGCAAGTCGTTTTTTATCGAGGTGATAAATATATTTAGTTCTATGAACATACCTGTGTATCCCTTCTCCCCTTTAAAAATCAGTATTAAGGAGAAACTGATTTTTGTCCCTACAGGCTATTGGCTTAATTGCTGGAGGCTGTTTTGTGTATGTAAAAGCAGACTAGTTACCTTGGAAGGGAATAGGTCCCAGGATTGCTTATTTCTTTGAATGAAATTAATTGGAGAAACCTTGACTCTTCCACCAGGTGCACTAGTTTCAATGAGTGGGGTAACCATGGCATTTTGTAGCTATGTGTATGTTTGTCAGGAGTTAACAAATAATTATATAACAACTCTCCAGTTAGAGTAATGATCACCCTTGGCTACACAATTTGCCCAGGGACTTGCCCCCCCCCCCCAACTTTTTCTTCTTTTTTTTGGATCACCTGCTACCCAGCTGTGCTTTCAGAGTTTGCCAGCCAGCCCACCCATCTTGTGTTTTGTGCAGCTAAACACAGGTGACCAGTATCAGAACTTATCTTTCTGTGAATCTAAAAGCCCTCTATTACAAGTTTATAGGCCCCCTGATTTCACAGCAAAGGCTCTGTAAATAAGGCAAGGAGGGGTTTTGAGACTTGTTTTTTGATAAAGGTGCCTATTTCATTAATAATAGAGGGAGGGTGAGTGCTAGCTCTGGCAAAACTGTGCTAGTAGTAATGTGTCTGAGAAATCAACCAAGAAAAGAGTTGTTGCTCCTTAGTACATTAAATTTGGGCGTCAGTGGAGTCCGTTCACATGGAGCTGGGAAGGTCTCACAGGTGGTTCCCAGCAGAGGCTTAACAAGAAAATGAGAGTTTGATGAGATTTGCAGGTTTCTTCCCCTCCCATAACCTCACCCTGTAACCTTGACTCAGAAGGAACTTAATTAAGGGACTGAAAGAATCGAGAATATGATGAAGGACCGCGTGTAAAGAAAGTTAACTTAAAATCACTGGCAGGAAACTCTTAAAAGTTTTGGTGGAGACAACAGCATTTATTGGTCGATCTTTTTGTAATGTCTTGCCACATCTTTGCAGAGGGCAGTATGACAGGTGGCAGTGCCTCAGTAATGGGATGGCAGCCTAGGTTGTTCTCTGGGCTTATTTAGCATTTATTTTTCAGACAACACTCATTTCAGGATTGGGGCCTCTGTGATTCTGGAAAGAATAATTTTGAATTTCAGGGGTTATTTTGTGGAATCCTAAAACTGAAAGTGATGTTAAAGTCTACCTTTGGGCACTCGATCACTGAGCCACATCCCCAGGGCTATTTTGTATTTTATTTAGAGACAGGGTCTCACTGAGTTGCTTAGTGCCTTACTTTTGCCGAGGCTGGCTTTGAACTCAAGAGATCCCCTTGCCTCAGCCTCCCTTGCTGATGGGATTACAGGTATGAGCCACTTCACCTGGCCAAAGGCTACTTCTAATACTTCCCTTTTAACCTGTGAAACTTAACTGCTTTAAGCTAGGGGAGTGGAGAATAAGCTGAGATGGATGGCCAATCCCATATTTATGTCAGAAACAGTACTGCCTTAGGGAGGATTTATGTAAATCCTGTCCTGATGTTACTTTCTTTCCCCAAGACAACAAATATTTTATCTTTCTTGAGCAGAGTTTTGTGTGGCATCATATTTGGGTACAATATTGGACAGGTGCTTGGCTGTTCTTGGGTGGTTGGTGAGCAGTATCCTAGGCTTCAACTGTTCATATTGCCCTCTCAAGGTTTCTACCCTATCCTTGCATCACCTGTATAGTTATTCAAATGTTTCCTTTACATTAACTTTTTTTTTTTTTTTTTTTTTGTACTGGGGGTTGAACCCAGGGGTGCTTAACCACTGAGGCACATCCCCAGCACATTTTATTTTAAGTTTTTTGGAGTCAGAGTCTAAGTTCCCAAGGCTGCCCTTGAACTTTCGATCCTCCAGCCTCAGCCTCCCAAATTGCTGGGACTACTGGCATGTGCCACTGTTCCCGGCCCTAAGCATTTTAAGAAATTTTTTTGGGCTAGGCAGTTATAGTACGACTTCCTGAATTTGTTGCACTGTGTATATGTAAAATTTGTATCAATCACATATACATGTTTTTTATTTATTTCTGTTACACACATAAAATAGTTAATTATTCAGGGTTCAAATCAGAACCTGTTAACACTTTGGAAAGTTCATTTTTGCATCTAAAACTGCACTGCCATCCATCAGAGACGATATTTCCCACATGGTGGGAATGTGGATTTAAAGGAGGAAGTGTGGGCTTCCCAGTTGGGCAGCCATGGATTTGAATTCTGGGTTAGCATCTTTGCGGTTGGGGTAGTTACATAACTTCCCATTTATAAATTAGTTTAATTGTGCTCTTTAGAAACCTGTGAACAGTTGTGAATATTTTTTCTTACATTTGTGTGAGAAACTCCTCCTAGTAGAAGCTGTCCATTTGTAGCTGTTTGTCATAATTGTCATTGTTCAGAGTGGCAAGAGTGTTGTGGAAGTGGCTCCCAGGGGACTGGGCAGGATCTTTCAATGAGGATCCCTTGTAGAGAAGCTTCTGGGGAAGAGCTGGAAGTTCACCCTCCCTGCTGGCCCTCTGATTGTGTTCCCTCAGGACTTGGTGGGTATTGTGTGATTCTTTGCCCTGTGGAAACAGAATGGTCTGAGCCTTTATCTAACACAGGGAATCAAGAAAGTGAGAGTCGTTCTTGATTTCTCCTTTCCCCTCATGTCATATCCGCATGTCAGCATCATGTGTCCGTCATTTTCTTCTGTCTCTCAATCCTCCCCAGTTTTACCCACATGCCTGACTCCCTTTCAGGCCTCAGGCCCACTTTTCTCTGTCCTGGGCCCTTGCATATGCTGGTCTGTCCTCCTCCTGGACTCCTATCTACCTCCTAGGCCCCACCCTGCTCTGCTGCCTCTGCCTAGGTCAGGGAGGCTGGTTCTTCAGCCATTCTGCCTGGGCTGAACCAGGCTCACCCTCTCATGTGCTCCTGATCTCCTCTTCCTTTTCTTCTTTTTCATGATGTTGTGGGCTGGTCCCATGGCCTCCCGCATGCTAGGCAGGTGGTCTACCGCTGAGCCACCCTAGCCTGAGAACTGAGAGTGGAACCTGCAGAGATTCTGCACTCACATGTTGGCCAAGGTGAACTCCCCTCAGGCCTGCACATGTCCATCTTCACCCCTGTCTCAGCCTGAGGACTTCAGGCCTTGCTGGTGTATCATGGAAATTATATATTTGCATCTTGCTATCTCCCACTGATGGGACCATTTCCTGAGGACAGGGATGAGTGCATATATTTTTGTTGGAATATATGGAAGAAAGTGGGATGAATAAATGAAGAAGGAAATCTGGTGACTGAGAGGTGTTGGAAAAAAGTCTAGTACCCTTTGTATCTACCTTGAGGTTATAAGGCTGACCATGAAATGAAACTCCAACATAGGAAGGAAGAGGAATTCTTCCATGGGGCTGAAGAGGCCTAGCAGTTGAATCATAAGTATGACCAGGAAATTCAATGAGTTGGGGCAGTGGTAAGGGTCCTAGGCATCAGGCATTGGGAGCCCCGGTGGTCCAGGGAGGATGGCCTGGTGTGCAGAGCAGCCAGAGTCGGCCATGCGGTGTTGTAGGAGATGAGCCCCACACTGGTTTCCAGCCTGCTAGTGTGTCCACTCCCTGGAGGGCTTTTTCAGACCCCACTGGGGGTCTGCAGTGCAGCTCGGGGCAGAGCGCTGGACTCACACTGACTTACAAGTTCCCAGTTTGGTACTCGGCATCACAAGAGAAAAAGGAACAAGCACCACCACCCAAATCCCCAGGTTGCTGGTTCTCTCAGATTCAGGAGGTCTGAGGTGGGGCCCCGGAATTTTCATTTCTAACAAGATTCCGTGTGATCTGCTGCTGCAGCTGGTCCAGAGCCCACTTTGAGAACCTTGATCTCCAGAGGAGAAGGCATCCTGCAGGGCCGGGGCACCCCTGCCTGGGCGGGCTGGATCAGGCATCTGTGAGGCCCAGCTTGCCAGCCCAGCCTGGGCCTGGTGTGTTTTATTTAGAAGTTGTGCCCTCTCTCAGCCCAGATCTAAGGGAACAAGTGAGAAGGCCCAGTCCCCTCTGGTGACTGAACCACTCCTGGAGTCATGTCCAGACTTCCCACCATCCTCCCTGCTCAGCTCCACGCCTCTGCCTGCAGCCAGGCCGCCCAGCTTGAGTTGTGCTCCATCACGGGCTACCTTTGGTCACATTCCTCACCTGCTCCTTTGCTCCCACTCCACAGGGTGGCTGGGAAGGTCGAATGACCTGATATGCAGAGTGGGGCCATGGGTGCCACACTGACTTGCTGGGGACAGGTCAGCCTCTGTTAGCTGCACCCAGGGTCTCCTGCTGTATTTATGATGGCACCCAGGCACCCTGAACCCCTGGCGCCTGCTCCCCTGATTCTCTCCCTCCAGGCACCCAGTGGTTCTGGTTTCTATGCCTGCCTTGCTCCCTCTGCAGCAGTGTCACTGTCCTGGTTCTCAGCTTGGAGC